ATTCTAGACTAATTTTATTTATTAAGAAAAAGATTAAAATTGCCTAATTAAACTAATTAATTACTTATAATTTATTTACAAAAAAAAAAGTAATTGAAATTAATAAAAATGTTTTTTTTTTGGTTTTATGAATTTTATTGTGAAAATGTTAATTTGTTAATTAATTAAATAATACTAATAATAATTATTAAAGAAAATAAAAGAAAAAGGAAAATGCAAAAGAATAGTAAACCATGGGCGCTGGGCCAACATTGGGGGTGTGCTTGGCAATCTGAGGCCCATTAACCAGCCAACCTTGTTTGACTTTCTGACTTCTCCAATGCATGTGTTGACTGGGTACATGGTGGTCATCTGCTCTAAGCCATTGGATCTGTGATAGGGGCCACATGGCGTGCATCTGGATGAGGCGTAGGGTGGACAACATTCAGCATCCTGCATATGAACGTATTGGAAAAAAGGAGAAATAATTGTTTGGGAGACCTGGGAATCGAACCCAGGTCCCAGAGGTCTATGCACGTTCGTCCCAACCACTGAGCCAAGCCATTCTATTCGTTATAATAGTAAACAATTAATATTATATGAAATAAACAAACAGTATCTTGGAAATTAAAAAAGCGCGCGCGTTTTAGTTTGAACGGACCAATCAAATGCTAACACGCCTTCGTCTTCTCCAATAGTCCCTGTATTTTTTCCTGCGGATTCAGTTCCGAAACAAAATCCGCGTCCTCATCCTAAAATGGTTTCTAGGTCACGAAAACACAAACCAAAACCCTCGTCTTGCTCGCCTGGTTCTCCTAAGTCCATCCATAGCAATAGCTTGTCCTGATTTTGCCTACAATAAAAACACCTAAAAAAAAGCCAAAACCCTAGCTTCGGGCATGGCTATGCAGGCTACAAGAATGAAATTAAAATTGGAGAAATGTTGGAAATCATGCCATGATCAAGAATATATCAATATTTTTGCAAAAAGACGCAAGAAAACAGATTTATGATCTCATGTTCAGAGCTAAGTTCAGGACAACTTAAAGAGCGTTTCAGGCGGTGAGTGGACTTGATTCTTATGCCAATCGCTTCAGGGGATGGTAGGCTAGCACTCTACGTTGAGTTTTTTGATTGAAACAAGCTTTTACTAAGAATTCGAATTCTCTTTTTTTTCAAGCTTTTTTTGTTTATGGTTTGGCCGCTTTAGCAATGCTTGGGGCCTGTATTAGGTCTGGCCTGCTTGCTTATGTATGTGTGAACGAAATTAGGTCAGCAGCTGAGCCTTAACCTTGTGTATTGAAGACTTGAGATCTTGGTTGACCACCATTAAAGAACCTTCCATTTTTGGTTCAAATTCAAGATTTTATGCACAAAAAGGCTTGGCACGAATTTGGTAGCTGGCATATGACACATGAAAGCTATTCAAATCAAAAGATGCTATTCCATTGATTTTTTAGATTTTATTTGAATTTTTATGGATTTAAAATGAATTAAATCAATAAAAATTAAATAAAATGGAAAAATAAATGTTTGATCTTTAAATTAATCATGGGACACGTGGATGGCATGACAAGGCTGAATCAAGTGGAAGAAAGTGGGCCCTTTTGTCAAAAATTGAAGTTTTAAGGATAGTTGACTTTTGCCATTTCACAAAAATTTCCCAACTTCTCCAATGCATATCTTGCTCAATTTTGATCATATGAACATGTTCTTGGACATTTTGGAAAGGTCTTGAAGTCCTTTAACCAATGACTTTGGTCCCATGTCATTTGGATTTACCAATCTCAAGTTATGTTCTTTGACTTAAAATGCCTTTTTGTTGACTTTTGAAAATGACCTATAATGTAGAAATTGATAACTTTTTGTGAGAGCATTTCTTGGAATTGGAATGTGAAGATGAGTTGTAGGAAATGTCATCCCCTTCAAAATGAGCATTGGATGGGATTTTTCTGATGAACCATGAAAAAGTTATGCCCTAGTCAAGTTACAGTTGACTTTTCAACTGTCCCAAAATGGAAACTTTTGCATCTTGATGATTTTTGAGCCATGCTTGTGGAATCATGATCAAGACTTGATCAAATGATGATTGTGGCTTCAAAATAAGATGTTGACCAAAATTTTTGACTTTTGACTGCCAAATGACCATTTTACCCCATTAGTTGATTGTGAAGTAATTAGGGCTTTTGACTGTGCAACTTGATGCTGTGAGTCTTGAAACTTGACATGTAGGTGCTTGACAATGTATATAGGCCCATGGCACTTGATTGGACCACTGAAAGCCTCAAATTCATTGAAGGAACCAAAACCCTAATTTTGACTGCCTTAGGAGGCATTTGGACTGTGCAACCCTTGAGTAGACTTGAGCAAATTGAGATGATGCTTGTCAAAACTTTGAAGAATATGGGAGGGAAAATTTTGGGGTACAACATGAAGCAAAGTGAAGGGACAAGTCTTTAAATGCTTGTACTGGCCTGCTTAGAGTTGGTATAAACTCTACACAAGTTGCTTTAGGTCTGTAGGACTTGTGTGTGAAGAGAAGACGGGTCCAATGCTCAAGATTTGAAAAGTTGCAAAAGTGACGCTTTTCCAAAATGGCAATGGCAACTTTGTGCCATTTATGGAATTACAAGTTGGACAAAGACTCTTGGGCTTGAATTAATGCTTTTTCAACTGAGTAAGCATTAAATTATGAAGTGAGAAACAAGTTTAGGACCTGTAAAGCATGGATTACGCAGCATAGGTACTGATTTGAATTTTGTTCTTCATGAAATGGCTTAAATTCAAAGTGAGAAATTGCCAACTTCATCTCTTCGATTCTCCCTACTAAAAAATGATCTCAAGGATTTCTTGGACATTTTGGAAAGCTTTCCATGTGATCTATAACTCATCTTTGAAATTCATTTTAAGATTCCCCTTGGAACTAGGTGAAAAGTTGCCATGAAGTTGGGTCAAAAACCTGCCTAAATTAGGGCAAAATTTCACTAAGTTATTTTAGTTCATGGGCATGTATTCATAAAATTATATCTTGAGATCCAAGCATTTTTAGGGAAAAATGTGTGAAGCAAAGTTGTAGATTTAAAGGAGGTCTACAACTTTCATGTTGGAAACTTTCCTTGAATCATCTTGTATCATGGTGAAAAAATGGCTTAAAGTTGAGAAAAAATAAGAAATTTTCTATACTTAGAAAAATTTCTAAGTTAAGAAAATTTCCAATTTTAAAACCTAATCTTAAATCCTTGATTTCTTGATGAACAAGTTTCTCATTTTGACATGTTTTGATGAATTGTGACCCTTGGCACTTGATTTTGACCAAAAAGTCAAAGTTTGACTTTTCAGTGTACAATTGACTTTTGATCAGTTGATTGTAAATTTCATCTGTCTATCCAATGGATTTGCAATGTTTTGAACCATTTAATTAGGTCAAGATGATTCAATTGAATCCTTGGAATCATGATTCAACTCAATTGGTCATTTGCTAGGTCAAAAATCAGAAATTCCCCTTTCTCAGTCAAAACCCTAATTTTGACCATTTTGCCCTTTTGATGATTTGATCAAATTTCTTGAGGAATTGTGATCCAAATTTGATCAAATGATACATATGAGTCTAGAATGTTGACGTGGATAAAAAAATATGAAGTTTGACTGTAAATTGGCCATGGTTGACTTTTTCCCCATTACAACTGATTTTTAGGTCAAATGTTCAATTGACTGATCAAAAATATGGTTCAAGGCCTGAAACTTGTCATGAGTAAACTTAGGGGTTCATAATGATGTTTGAAAGTCATATGAAGTATTTATAGTCCAAAAATCCTTGTGCAATCTCAAACCCTAATTTTGGGTGATCAGTGCATGATGAGAGGTCTTGAGCTGGTCAAACCCTAATCCAGTCTTGAGTTTAAGAGATTTGTGAGAATAATCTTGGTAAATGAGAGGGCAAATTTTGGGGTACAACAGCTTCCCCTGTTCAATCTTCTTAAACCTGAAGAGTTAGAATGACGATTTTTGCCATTCGTGGCTCGAAGGTGAGAGAATGATTGGACGCTAGAGTGCCCAAAAATTTGCACTTGACGATGTATAGTTGAGGAAATGGGCTGAAAGACACCATTTGGAGAAGAGACAGGAGATGGGATTAAATATGCCATCAATAATGTTTGTTGAATTGTAAGTTGTAAGCTGAGAGAATGAGTATCAGAATTGCGTCCGTGTTTGGAGCGTGTCTGAACTGTATCTGGAAGGTTATATCTTGGACGAGTATCAGAATGGCATCCGTGTCTGGAGCATATCTGTACTGTATCTGAAAGTTGAATCTGAATGAGTATCAGAATGACATCCGTGTCTGGAGCGTATCTGAACTGTATCTGAAGTCTGAATCTGAATGAGTATCAGAATGGCATCCGTGACTAGAGTACATCAGTATTGTATTTGAAAGTTGAATCTGAATGAGTATCAGAATGGAATCCGTGTCTGGAGCATATCTGAACTGTATCTGAAGTCTGAATTTGAATGAGTATCAGAATGGCGTCTGTGTCTGGAGCGTATCTGAAATGTATCTGAACTTGAAATCTGAATGAGTATCAGAATGCACTACGCCAAAAATGATTTTTTGTATCACCTAATTTAATAGCACTTTTAAAAAAAATGCTATTAAAATGGAAAAAACACATTTATAATAGCACTTTTTAATCGGGCGCTATTATATAATACAGACTATGTAATTTTGATAGCACTTTGTACCAGAACGCTATTATTAAACTTCTTTAAGATAGCATTTTGTATAAAACGCTATTATTTGACTACCTATATAATAGAATTTATTAAAAAACGCTATGTTATACATATAATATTAAAAAAACCTTAAACTATATTTATATAAAAAATGAATGAACTAAGATCAAAGTTAACATTTCTTTAGCAGCAGCATTGAGTTAACTCAAAACCATAAAGAAACAAAAATTTCAAGGATTTGAGTCAGTTGGCAATACAAAGCCTGAGCTGAAGTAAAGAGGAAGGGGAAAAAGATGACAGAAGCAAACAACCTGAGAGACGCCCGGAGAAGAAGAAGAATCCTCCAACAAGGATCCGACCGTCTTGCCTTCATCCAGGGTCAGATCCAAACCCTCCCTCCTCCCGGTAACTACCTCTTCTCTTCTCTTTCATTTCAATTTTCTCTCTTCTTATTGCTTCTGTAATCATCCATCTACAAACCCTAGAAATCAATTTTGATTTTACAACTGCTTTTCTTCAGATCTGCCTCACGCCAACGACGAGGAGCAGGAGTATCCGAATTCCGTTTTGCAGAATCACGTTGATGCCGAAATTTTGCCTGAAAAACAACACAGTGAAAGTGAGATTTTAAGTTTCCCCAATTCTGAAATTGAACCTGAACATGTACAAGAATCACAACCTCTATTTCAACCTCAACCACCAACAACACATCAAGATTCATCTGATGAAATTTCCCAGCTCGAAGAACCTAGAAGTTTCGATTTCATAAGCCCTAGGGATGTGACGAATGCCGTTGATGCCTCAAGGTTTACGCGTCTTTGTTGTTCGATTATAGTTGCCTTATTGGTTGTTGCCTCTTGTCTAGGATTCTCTTTGATTAAGACTATTATAAGCTTTAGACCACTTTACTTGGTTCTCCTCACAAATTCGTCTTTTGTTGTTGCGAAAATTATTTCTGGGAAACAAAGAGGCTCTGATGAAAGGTTGAGGAGGAGACGGAACAGCGCCAGTGCCAGCGCCAGCGCTGATTCTTCTGATCAATATGCACAGCTTGCAAAAACATTGGAAATTGGAATGGTGCTGAAGACTGTGGCTGATGCTGTCTTCATGGATTGTGCTGTCTATGCTATTGTGCTCATATGCAGCCTTTCCCTTGTGCATCACTGATATAAGGGCTTCTTGTACTTGGTTTGAAATTTTGAACCCTTTTTCTTTTGTTCATCGACTTCATTGTTTTTGTGATCTAGGATTATTAACTAGTATTAGTGCACTGATTACTTTGTCATCTCACCTACGTCGTCGTCATCCCTCTCTTCATTTGTATCCGGTAATATTTCTTTTTTGTGCTATACTTAGAGACAGAGGGAGGTATATGCGGGCTGCATACATTTGCTCTACTTGTCATTCATAACTTTTTACAATTGTGGCTGCAGCAAGGGTTCTCTGACTGGACTTGCTCCACTTGAAGCAGTGCTCTTTGATATTGACGGAACTCTGTGTGATTCTGACCCACTTCATTATCTTGCTTTCCGTGAGATGCTCCAACAGGTAGTGCTTCTTTACTTCTTAATGAAGTTTAAGCCAAAGTATCAGAAGTATAGATAATTAAAGTTTTTATCATCACTATATTCCCTTTATTGTATTTATTTATAAATCGGCACATGACCAATATCTGGTTGCATTAACAAATATTGGTGGTTGTCAGATTGGTTTCAATGGAGGTAATCCTATAACAGAGGAATTTTTTATTGACACTGTTGCTGGCAAGCATAATAATGACATTGCCTTGGCTCTCTTTCCTGGTGAGCTGGAGAGAGGCTTAAAGTTTTTAGATGATAAGGAAGCCATGTTTCGGAGGTAAGCCATGCTCTCCTCCCGCGAACTATCCCCTTTAATTTGAAGATTCTTAACGTGATTCATGACTATCTAGATTAGCAGCTGAGCAACTGAAGGCTTTAAATGGCCTTGATAAAGTGAGAAAATGGATTCAAGATCGTGGGTTGAAACGAGCTGCAGTTACCAATGCTCCAAGACCAAATGCAGAACTCGCTCTCTCAAAACTTGGACTCTCAGATTTCTTTCAAGCTGTTATTATTGGTGATGAATGTGAACATCCCAAACCTCATCCAGAGCCATACTTGAAAGGCCTTGAATCTCTAAAAGCATCTAAAGATCACACGTTTGTATTTGAGGTCTGTTTGTTTCTTTTCTCTGCATTGCTATAGATCTGTTCTTATTATGCTTCTGACAGATCCATGTTGTTGTCGTAGGATTCTGTTTCAGGAATCAAAGCTGGTGTGGCTGCTGGGATGCCTGTTATCGGTTTATCTACCCGAAACCCAGAGCATTTGCTGATGGGAGCAAAACCCACCTTTCTGATTAAAGATTATGATGATCCAAAATTGTGGGCAGCTCTCGAAGAACTTGACAAGTCTGGTTCTCATTAAAGTTTTGACTTAATACTAGTGCGATTCACATAATTTCTTGATTAAAACAAGTAGCATTTTTCATATTAAATTCACCAGATCACCTCACCTGTTTAATTTAGTTACAGGGGGTGATACTATTCTACTACTCTACTACTCCATAATCAGAATTGCTTTGGAGTCAAAGCAAACAAGTAATTTTTTTACTTGTAATTTGCAATAATGTGATAGCTGGCTAGGAAACTTAATGCCAAGGAAATTGCAATATGTGATAGTAAAAGAGAGCGAAGGAGGGAGTGCTTGAAGACTCTTACATATTCATTACTCTTTGTTGGTACGTTATTTGGTGATGGGTGCTCAATATCAGCAATTTTGTACTACTACTTTAAATTGTTTGATATGTATAGTGTCAAATGCCATGATTATTATTTATTACAATACCCTTTATGCCATTTACTTATCTTGTGCCTATTGACCACAATCTTACTAATAATCTTGTGCCTATTGACCACAATCTTACTAATAATCTTGTAAATGGTATTGCTGATAAGATCTTTGACATACTGCATCATTCCATTACTGAATTGATGACACAAATTTGTAAGGTTGGCCACTAAGCCATTCTCCTCACGCCACTGTTGATCAAGTAAAGTCTCATAATTGTGTTTGTTAGAAGAAGTGTTCTTGTTAGCTTATATGACTAATTTTATATTATGAATCTAACTGTAGTTGAGCATGTCGAAGTTAAACTGAATTCTTGGTGTTCACTTCAGCATTAATATCATGTTCAAATGTTGAATCTTGTTGTTTTGAATTCTTTCAATCCTTGTCCTCTATCATGATTCATGATTCATGAGATTATTGCATTATTGTGTATTGGAGTGAATGAACTGTTGGGTTTTCATTTTTAATAAACATGTTCATCTTGCAATTTGAAATCATGTCAGATCACACTTGTAGCAATGCAGTGCCTATTTTCTTCTCTTGATCAATATGCATAAATTATGAAAATCATATGAAAAATTGATAGTCATTCTTGGTGTTAATTGAATTCTTGGTGTTGATTGAATTCTTGGATACAAATGTTCTGTTTGCTAATATTGTATTTGTAGCTTTTTATGCTTCTAAGTCTGCTGCATTTGTATTATATTAGTATAATATTGAGAACTCGTTTGTGCCACTATATAAGTTTTATTCATGTGTTCATATTTCTAAACTCTTTAGTCCTGTTTTTCTCGGAATTAATATTAACAGGAAGCTCTGGAAGCAGCGAGAGTTCTGAATCTTAAGAGCAATAAATATTTCTCACGACCATATGGTATAGACTAAGGTCATAAATTTGAATTTATATTGAGAAACGATCACAGTGATGGGATTTGGATCAATCCATCATTTTATGTAACTAGAAAACAGAAAAGTAGGAATCCAACTACAAGGAAGAGGAAAAGGCCGACTTAATCTTGTATGGTTTATTTATTTGTTTTTCATTTTTTTATTGTTATTGCTTCTTAATGTTATTCTTGTATGGTATATAACTTTTTAAATTTTTATAGGTGAAATATGGCTTCTATTGATGATGAAAGTGGTTCGTCTAGTAAGAAAACAGTTGGTAAACATGGTGTGACCCGATTGCAAAAAATTCACAAAGCCAAAAGCAATGGAAAGAGAATTGAGGTAAAATAGCTAGAGTTTTATGATACTGTTTACTCTCTTGGCAATTTTCCTTTTACTGAACTATGTATGAGTGATGGTTACATACATGATTATCTTTTATGAGTTAGTTGTTTGAAACTATTTGAATGTCAAACACTATTAGTGAGACTGTTGATTCTTTATTTGCACTTTAATTTTGTTATAGGTTCAATGGAATTCCAGAGGTCAACCAATCAAGCATAATAGCAAGACTTTTGCTAGTTTCATTGGTGTCACAGTTCGTCGGTTAGTTCCAATAAGCTTGGACAATTGGAGCGCGAAAAAAAATAAAGAGGCTATGAGTTCAACGCTTTTGGATCATGAAGGTGGTTACTACATGGGATTGTTTTGTTATCCTTTCTTATTTTTTTGGTGTTTTGTTTAGAGAATTTGATTGTATGTTTTTGGATTTGGATTGAAGTACTCATAGATGGGCATCTACAAATTTGGCTATGCAAACGCCCTCTTAATATTCTATATGTTATGATATTTGGAAACAATAGGATTTGGTAATTTAAAATGTTATTTGGTATTTGATGGATCATAATATATATGCAATGAGTAACTTAAAGCGTTATTTGTGTTGAATTGAATATAGTTATTTTATATTTACACCAAAAAAAATGATTGTGTAAGAAAAAATATTGTACTGTACTTATTAAAAATATTGTACCAAATATGTACCATTTATTAGCACTTTATTTGAAAGCGCTATCAAACATATGTTATATATTAGCGCTTTTTGTTTAGAGTGCTATAAAAAAACAAACAAAAAACATGCAAAATACTGACTTTGATAGCACTTTAATTAAAACGCTATTATAAATTGGTACTTTAATAGCGCTTTTAAAGTGCTATTAAATAAGAAATATTTACAATAGTGGCGCGGTTAATAGCACTTTTAAGCGCTATCAAAAACAAAAAAAGCGCTACTAAATAGCTTATTTGGCGTAGTGATGGCATCCGTGTCTGGAACGTATCTGTACTGTATCTGATTGCATATTGTTAATGGTAGCTGTTAATCTTATCCTGAAAGGGTAAAATGTTAGTTGAATCACAAGGTTATATTGCATGAAATGTATGATGCAATGTATTTGTTTTATCAATGTTTATGATATATGGATGCAATGCATGCGCATGTAAGCTGATTGCTGTATTGCTGTTTGATTGAGGAAAATAAATCCTTGAATGTTGCTGAGGATATGTTGAATTGCCATGTCTTGAAATTGAAGTACTAACGAACTCTTGTTGAGAGAAGTAAATTCCATTGTAAGGGCAATGCCATGTACTGCTTGTAAGATCTGCTTGGGGAATCTTGAGAAATTTGACGATTTCTACTAGGGATTAATAATTTGAAGTTTTAGTTCCGCTGGGGATTCAAATGATATACTGTAGGGATTACTTATGGAATAGCCTAGAGACGTTTTCCTGTCCTTTCAACTTATCAATAATTTTCTTTCTCATTTTGTTTATTTGTAAACAATAATTATGTTAAAATGCATATGTTCATCAATGAATCATTGGACGTTTTTGCAAACAAAACACAAGAGTAAAGAAAAAGACAAATAGTTTTTGCACTTTCAAAGGGATATCTTTGTATTGACTTTCAGTAAGTATTTTTGTACAAAGGGGACAAACATTCTAGTAAGAGAATGCTGTCGAAAACAAGAAAAATTTATACAGAGAAGGATAGCTATGTGTAATAATCCCATGGGGTTCCTATTCTTCTATAGCCTTTATATCTCCAAATATCTTGTCTATTTGTTGCTTCGTCCGAAGATGATTAAATTGATCAGAAACTCCGAGTTTGTCAGTGGAAGTCAAAGGTTATCCGTGAAGTGATCCGCTGGGACATAGTCATATGCTTTAATTCCCTAACTTTTTCCTGGATCACCCTTTCGGGTTTTCAGTCCACCGGGAAACCCTTTTTTGCCCAAGTCGCCCTTTTGGGTTTTCAACTTGCTGGGTGTACAGATTTTTTATTTTATCCCTAATTTTTACCCGAACCTCTTTGGTTCACCGGGATGCCCTTTTTTGCCTACGTGTGTCAACCTAGCGGGTCTCTTAGGCGTAGTATCTTTTGACTATGTTCACATTCGCAGGGTGTGGCAGGTCGTCACCATCCATGGTAGCCAAGATCATTGCCCCACCGGAGAATATGCTTTTGATTACAAATGGTCCTTCATAGGTAGGAGTCCATTTGCCCCTGGGATCACTTTGTGGCAAGATGATACGTTTGATCACTAGATCCCCAACTTGGTATACTTGACGTCTGACTTTCTTGTTGAAAACCTTGATCATCCGTTTTTGATACATTTGACCATGGCAAACAACAGTAAGTCTCTTTTCATCAATTAAGTTCAGTTGATCAAGTCGAGTTTGGATTAAATCGTCTTCATTCAAACCTGCATCCTTCATAATTCTCAGAGATGGGATCTAAACCTCAATAGGTAAAATAGCTTCCATGCCATATACCAAAGAATAGGGTGTTGCCCCAGTTGATGTGTGAGCCGTGGTACGATACCCGTGGAGAGCAAATGGTAACATCTCATGCTAGTCTTTCTACGTGACTGTCATCTTTTGTATGATCTTTTTAATGTTCTTATTTGCAACTTCAACAACACCATTCATCTTTGGCCGGTAGGGAGAAGAATTGTGATGCTGAATTTTGAATTGCTCGCACAAGGTGGTGATCATAGTGTTGTTAATATTTGTACCATTGTCAGTGATGATCCTTTCCGGGATACCGTACCAGAAAATGAGATTTTGCTTGATGAAGCGGGCAACAACATTCTTAGTGACGAAAGTGAAGGAAGCTGCTTCGACCCACTTTGTAAAGTAATCAATGGCCACTAGGATGAAACGGTGTCCATTAGAGGTTGTTGGCTTGATCTCCCCAATCATATCAATTCCCCACATAGCAAAGGGCCAAGGAGCCTTCAAGACATTCAGAGGAACCAGAGGTACGTGCACCTTGTAAGTATAAATTTGACACTTATGACAGGTCTGAGAGTGTTGATAGCAATCTGCTTCCATAGTAGGCCAAAAATAGCCTGCCCGTAGGATTTTCTTCACCATCGTATGCCCACTGGAGTGGGTGCCAAAAGTATCTTCATGTAATTCAACCATGATCTTTTCAGCCTCAATCTTATCCACACACCAAAGCAGAATGGAGTCATGATTACGCTTGTACAGGATGCCATTACTCAGGAAGAACTTAGCAGAGAATCTCCTTAAGAACTTCTTATCATTGATTGCAGCTCCTTCTGGGTATTCTTGAGCCTCGAGATACCTCTTGACTTCATGAAACCAAGGCTGGTCCACTACCT